TTTATGTGGCATTAGAGCCATTTGGGTCAGTCCCTCCAACAGAAGAAAACATATTGCCAGCTATTTGCTGGATGCTGCTAGGTAATGCCATTCACTTTCTCAGAGTTGTTATGGTTCCTTGAAATTTTTTTAGTGAAAATATATTGCATGCTTAATGAACTGACAAAAGTTAAATTTTCGGGGTTCAAACTAGTAATTGCTCCTTAGTTAGAATTGGAAACAAAAAAAAAAAATTCATGTCTGAGAAAAACGAGTGCACTGGAACAGGAAGAAAGGCGACAATTACTGATAAACCAAATTTAATTTCAATAGAGTAAGAGTCTGATGCTCTCACTTGACAAGTGTCTTTGTGAACTTGTTGCTGAATTCTTCTTCAGTTGCACTTGATAATTTATGAAAGGGGTCCTGGTATGTAAGTATTCACAAGGTCAGAGTGGTGTACTCCATCAATGTAGTATGAGAAGATCCTACCACGGTGTACTCTATCTATATTGCAGAAACAGAATGGTGTACTGCTCAAGTACATGATGGAGTCGCTTGGTTGGTATTGCTTTTCAAGATGAAGAGCTGTCCTCCAGCTTCATAAAGTTTGCCAGAGACTTCTATTTTCCCGGTACAATTGCAGTTTCAGACATAACACTCTCTAAAAGTGGATATGGCGCAGTGATTGCAGCATTGGCATACAAAGTACCTCTAGTTTTTCCATGCAGTAGTTATCTTGATAAGGAAATTGTTCTGAGGAATATAGCTGAGTGCTATCAAAGTGGTTTAGAGATGATTAAGATGATTTTGCCCACTACTTCCTATATTCAACGTGCAACAATTTCAAATTCATGCTATTATAAAGGTGTCAATGGTGATAAAGTGGCTGTTACGGGCAAGGATTATGCTTTACTCAAGCCTAATGAAGAACAGTGGATACAAAAGCAAATGTCCATAGATATCAGTTTCAAAGGAGTTCTGGGATTCTTGGGGTGGTATTTACTTGCATAACTCGAAGTTGGTTCTTGAATTCAATTGCCAAATGATAATGTCTTTAATATCTGCAGTCATACAGAAGAAACTGAAAATTGTTGTTGAGCATCACTGGTCTCTACTCTTTTTGTCTTTTGAAGAGTTTGGCTAAGATACATTCCACAAGTGATAGGAAAATGAATGTGATAGACAACAAATTATTCGAACTCCATGGCCCGGTCTGGTCAGTACCTAGCTGGGCCTCTTTTGTTCCATTAAAATTTAGGATACGACACTATGTAAAATACTATCCTCGTGATTGCCCCCCCAGGGTTTTGGTCTAGTGGTAAGAGTGTAGCGTGTGATTTGAGGATTAGGCGCATGTCACGGTTTTGAACCCTGCCGCACACAAGAGCCTGGTTTTTGAGTTGAGAAGGGTTAGTGCCAGTCCCATTATTCACCAAGTTTCGGACCGTGCACTATTGGCCCTCTAGATTTCTCTGTCGTCAAAAAAATAAAAAATAGAAACATATTGCCCTCATATTAGACTATGCCCCTGAGATTTGATAAAAGAAAGATGCATTAGCGGTTAATACGTTGTAATTGGATAAGTTATAATGAATATGTCATAACGAAATGACCAAGGAAAGAAAGAAGAGCACACCAAAATGAAAGATTGGATGTTGCTTAGTAGATGCTCACACACAGAGTTCGTCGTTGAAGCATCAGATGTGCTTCTATTTAGCAAATAGAGATTGTCCGACTGTGCTCTCTGCAAAATAATTATTACATTATAAATTTGGTCAAATTAGTTACTTGACGTTGGTAAAATGGGTAATAACTATTTTCTTTTAATTAAACTCCTTGTTTAAAGCTCTGCATAGATTTGGATTGCTTATGATTTACATTTAGTCTGAATTTCCTTCTCATTCTTCAATGCAGGGGAACCTTTTGCAAGGATTTAGTTCTTAAACGCTCAGAGTTAGCCTATTCTCAGCCAACCTCAGTTGGAAGAGCCTTCATATCCAGTTATACAAGCAGTGACTCTTTCTTTGTTTATACAACTTCTGATCTGTAGTAAGGGTTTAAGAAATAGCATGTTGATTTTTTTATGCCAAGCATATTTCAGTTAGCCTAGTAATTTACTGGATAATCCATCTATGTTCATGTGTGGAAACTTATTGATTTCTTTGTTTTGACTAGAGCTGACAAAGCTATTCTTTCCCAATATATTGCATGGTTAAGGTAAGAGTCTGGCCAAGCTCTGTTACAGGTGTAGACTGAGTCTAGTCTGTAATAATCTTCTTGCTCTCAGCAGGTGGTTGTATATCTTTAACTGGAAGTCATTTACTTGTCTCCATGCGAGAATCAGTTTTCTCTACGTTAAATGCTTCTTTGAATTTCACAGGTTCATTCATTTCTCTATTCAGTTTGCTTTCAACTGTGTTGCACTTGCACGTCAAATGCCTCGTCTCGTCTAGTGCATTAATGTAAAAGAGGTGGTTGAAATAATATAGATGACCATCGCAAGCTAAACTGGGAGAGCATAGTGGACTTTGGCAGTCAATGTTTGTGGTTTGATCTGCCATCTGTAGTATGCCTCTGATTTCGAAGAGATACCGGGAATGAATCTCTGAGGAGATGATTGCGACATTGATAACTGGAGCACAAAGAAAAAACACACTGCTGTAGCCCATAAGACATCTGCTTGGGGAAGCCAAGTCTCTAAGCACAAAACAAATGCCTTGAGTGAATGGAGAAACCAATTTCTGGTCCATCATTTCTTCCTTCCATTTCCTTCTTATTTCCATCTATCTCTCTTCTTTTTGACCTTTCATTTTCTTTCTGACTTCCTCTTTGTGATCCCTTGTAGTCCATCCACTACCGTCATTACCTGTGTTTGCTCCTCTATGGACATTCCTCACTTTGCATTGGTATTGGATGCACAATTTATCATATGTCTGAATGTTTGATACATGCTGCCAGAACTGTTTGTGTACTCATTTTATAACTCTTCTGTGGACACTGCCCTCCCCAGACCCCACTTGTTGGGATCAAACTGAGTTTGTTGTTGTTGTTGTTGTTGTTGTGGACACTGCCCAAAGCATTAAAGAAGGTATTGTACAAACTGTTCTGTGGACAATGCCAAAACCATAATTATTTTTGTACATCCCTGCCCTTTCTTTGAGCATAAAGGATAAAGCAGGATAGGGTAGAAAGCTTCTGAGCTAATTACACTATACTCAATTAGTCATTCATAGAATTTCTGAAAGCAGTCAGCATCTGGTTGATTATAAGTACCAAAATAGGAAACAACCACCCAACACACAAAGTGGGATAAACTCATGTTTTTACTCTGGTTTTCCTACCACTATAAGAATGTTGTTTGAATCAACAATGAGGGAGAAAACTATACTGCTCTAAAGCAAATTCAAATAGAATAGGGCAATGAACGAAATTACTTCAACATATCTTTGAAGCAAATTCAAAGATAATCACTATCTGAGAACTCAACAATTTTATAGTCCTCTCTCTCTCTCTCGCGAGCGCGTGCTAAACTAAACCTAAAATAGATAGCACTAAAACAAAATACATACGTATGCAACTAGCAGTGAAAGTCCTCATAAATGCCTTTTTTGGAACAACTAGAAGATGTTTGGCAATTCCTACTGTTATTTCGTTACACTACTGTAGCAGATCTTAAAACCGAGCTCTCGACAGAGTATCTTGCGAGATGTTAGTCCTGCAGGACCTATTAAAGAGACTGCTGAGACTTTTGGTGGCATGAACATCGAAGTAGACATAGTGAATGCCGAAGGCAATATTGATGATCGAATGGAAAAGTGGATTGTCGAAAAGTTGAAATTCTCTGTCAAACAGCCGGTACAAAGATTTTGTGAGTTTGTCCTTTGATTTTTATCTCCCTGCTCTGTGTATGTATTAAGTATGTTGTATTTGGCAGATTGAGGCAGTGGTGACGAAGGCTGAGCTCCAGTACCTTGCTTTCTTGAGCAAGTCTGAGGTTGACTCTATGAGTCGGGTTGCTGCTGGAATCCTGCGGGTACTTAAGTTAGAAGGTTCTATCGGCCCAGGAGCAATCCGTCAACTCAGTAACTTGGTAAGTTTTGCATCTTATTTGAAACTTTGTTTTCACCATACATCTCTTCATTCTGTAGTCTGAGATTCTAAACCTAAATGTCGTAAGTTTACTGAATCAGTAGCACTTATCTGTATAATTGCTAAAATAGAAGTCTCTGCCGTAAAATAGCTGAGCTCAGCTCCAAAAAGTTCCCTTCAACGAAGAGCAAGGCCATGTTTGTAGGATAGCGCATATTAGACATTTAGTAAATGATGCTATCTCATGGCCTTGTTCTGGACTTGTCAGATTAATTGTTCTAATGCTTTGTATTTTGGTTGATGATTTAGTGACTTGGATCAATGAATTCTTGCAGGAAGTGAAAGCTTCGATAGAATATTTACCCCTGAAAAACTCAGCAGGGAGTAGCAGCAGTAGTATAGGACTACGTCCGTCGTCAAATTTAACCGGTGGAAGCCGGAACTCATGTATAGAGTCAACACTAGCTTCTGTTGTAGAGTTAATCAAGGAATCACAGAGCAAATGTGCTGCTCTAAGTGTTGAACTAGGTAGTTCTACATCAAGTCAGATGACCTGCTCAAACCCCTAAGAAGTTGCTACCACATACCAGCGCCATATAGTCCCATCTTCACAGCAGCTAAGTATGGTGCTGAAGAAAAAAGACATGCACAGATTGCGAATGTGGCTGGTTTGTAGTTCCCAGACAGATCTTGCCTTGTCTATTCCCTGTTAGATGTAAGGTCAAAGGGTTCATTCCAGTACAAGCTTGGAAGGAGAAACATAGCATGCATGCAGACCACGCATCTGTAGTTTTCGCGTTGTATCTTATTCTCAAATTTTCATAATCACCAACCTCAGCAACAACAATATGGCATTGCACGAGCAGTAAATTCTTTAGTAGAAACAATGATGACAAACGCTCATTAAGTTGGGACATGCAATAATTTGATTAACAGTTGGTATTTCCTATAGCTGCTGCTTTGTAGTGGAAATCACATGAAAACTTGATGAACCAAATATCACACTCTGGGACAGGATACTTTTGAAGGATGTCAACTGTGCCCTAAAATTAGAGCAATATACATTAGGAAGTTTAGTGTATAGTTATCAAAAAGAGATTCCAGGATCATGATTTCTAACCTCTCCAGGAGACTCTTCTTTCATCTTTGGTTCCCATAATACAATTTCATTGTCAACACTCTCATGATTTAATGGATCAGTACGTACAGGTAAAAATATAAAAAAAAAAAAAAAGAGAGAGAGAAAGAGAGAGAGAAGATATCATCAAACAATTAACATGTCATTTCCAACTTGATCTGGGAGGTTAAAAAAAAGTAATTCAAGCTAGTCTTTGATTTTACAGAGGTTTTCTGATTTTCCCTCTCTTGTTAAGGGGAAAGGAAACTAATTAATGCCAATCAAGAATTCATATAGCAGAATGAAGTGATTCACCTTGGACAAGATAAAATCACCAAGCCATCTGTTACAGTCAACATAGTTGGAATTAAGTGATGCGGGATGAATATCTGACATGATAAACAGCAAGCAAAATTAAGTTACCCAATAAAACTATCAGAAGAATACAACTGTACATATTTTGTGGGAAACTTGGAAGGAAGATCAGTCCAAGTAAACGATTTAGAAAAGAATTGCTAAGTTAAATTGATGTTACATTTTATTTTTCAAATTCGAAACCACTGAGCATCAACGGAATAGATGATGCACTACAATCCAACTCTGCATCCTCCTACCAGGAACAGTACATTAATATATGGGTAGTAAAGTAGTCTAGATGACAAGAATATGCATATTTCCTTCTAGGTACTAGTGTCTAAATAAATACAATAAACATTTCTATATGAAAAATATTGGACTAACATTACTTAGCGACTTATTGTGATAGGCTCCTCTAACGGTCGCTTTATTTAATCCAATTTATGCTCTACTTTTTAACGCACCCGCCAACTCGTATTAATAATATTTTGTCCCAATACGCTAACGGTCATTTCACTTGCCAAAGTAAAGTATGAAATACACATTGTTAAGAAGCCAAACCACTGAATTAATAAATGGTACAAGTAATCACTAATGCCATGTTTTACAAAACAAAAACAAAGCTACCATGAAAACCAGTTACATCGGGAAAAAAAAAAAAGCAATCATAATCTAAAGAATATGATCGGAGAGTGGTGGAAGTCGCCGGAAAAAGTTGACGGGGACGGAAGGCATGTCGTCGCGGAACCGAGGGTGGCGCAAGTAATACAGCCCGGACCCTAACACAAATGCCTTGAACGGAACCACATAAAACACCAATGAAGCAAATAAACACACCACCACAAATATACCAGTAGCTCTAGGATCCCTCCAATTGAACAATGCTTCTAACCTCTCCCCTTGTGCTGCAACATCACCTAGTAGCGTTTGTGCCCTCCCTGCTAGTGCCCTTAACCTGTCATATCGAACCCGAACATGTTCCATAGGCCTCGACGTTGGGAATCCATCGAACTCCTCATCGAGCTCATCGGGACCTATTGCATCAACGTGAGATAATTCCATAGTGATTGCAACACGCTGGCGATATCGAAACCTTAAGGAAATGATCAAGAAGGCATACATACAAATTGTAGGCAATACTAGGTGCGGACATAAGACAATGGCTATCAATAGTATATGCACCAAAATTGTGGTTGGTGGGTGCACCCATGTCCTAATTCCATCAAGCCAACGGGCTAATGTGGCCGCTCTAGACAAGCACCCAACCACTCTGAACCAATTTGACTTGCTTCGCCTCATGCTCCATATGTGAGTGTCTGAATCCAACATACATTGAACCACTTCTTGACCCAATGCAGGTTCTGACCTAGCCAATCTTGCTGTAACAATCCTCATTGCTGTGTGCCTTAAGATATCCTGTTGAGCTGGACCAAATGGGCGCACATAATGCATTCTTGGCAACATTGGATTAGTATAGGCTTGTATCAAACTCAGCCACGATGAACAAGTAAACCTCAAAGCAATCTCAATGTCACCCATTTTCTTTGCACCACTAGGAAGCAACACCACAAGTGAATAAGTACCCATGTACACCTTATTCGTATCGAGCGTCGACAGTCGTACTCTTAGCTTCCCAAGTCGTACATCTTTCTTGTGACCATCATCATCATGCTTGTACCTCCCATTATCAAACACCCCAATTGTCAACACGGTGCAGGGATCGTATACATCCCAAGTATACTGCTCATTCCACCTCGGATTAAACCGATCAAGAATTGTACGTGTCCGGACCCACTTGGGCCCGTACTTGGCCACCACGTAGGCATCGGTGGTCCCACGCGTACCATCTTTTGTTTTCACAGGGAGTAGATTATTAGCACCTCTAATACCAACTTCAAGTAATCCAATAGGTGGTTTGGACAATTGTTTTGCTGTGGCTCTAACATCACTGGTTAAATGTGCTGCTTCATCAAGCACGTGATACCCACCCTCCAAACAAACTCGCACGTGTATCCTACCAGCATAAGGCTTTTTCTCATCACCCACTAAATTAAACCACCTTGATCTTGGCTCTGATTTGTCGTCCGTACGCTTATCAATGGACGTGACCTGCACCTTAGCATACCCCACCACTTGACAGTTAGTAACATCTTCCACTGTGATCACCAAAAACGGCTCAAACGGCTCAGCTGCCACGAATACAAGGTCTTCGTTCCACGTAGGATTGGAAGCCGAGCTGGAGGACCCTACCGTGGTTCGGCTCGTCTTGAATAACTGTGCGCCGAGCTGCGCTTTCACGTAGAGGTCCGGACTCCGAACCTTAGGCTCGTTGCCACCCGAACCTAGCTGCAAATCTTGGGTTTGGATGACCGTTAGCCTTAAATACCACAGCTTCGGTGAAAGGTAGACTTTGGCTCGGGTTTCCGGTATCAATCCACCGGAGTCCGATTGCCATGCCTCATTAAATGCTTCGTCCGCCTGAGTCCCGAGCCACACCGCCAGCATGACGTCATTCCCCGGCTGGTTATTCTGATCGGCAGTAACACCTTCTAAACTGTACCATTGAGGAGCTAACGGACTGTCCGGCGGCACTCTTTTCGGCACTTCCTGCAAATCAAACGACACCGTACCAATGCTATTCTCATCAGTTTTATCATCGGCGACCTTCTTTTCGACCCAAACAGAGACTTCTAAGGATGTTGAGTTTAATCCCTCTTTGTCGAATGCGAAAACTTGATCCCATTCTTTGTTATCCGCCAGTGATTTGGTTTTTATACTGTGAGTTCCGATCACGAGCTTTGCATAAGCGGAGGAACCGGGCTCTTGATTGGCCCGTTTCGCCTTCACAATTCGAACATAGAGGAATGGCATTTGATCGACAAGATCAAACGCCCCTGTTCGACGATCCACACTACTGGAGAGATTCTTATGAAGGACTTTGAGTTCACTTGTATTTTCATTTGTTATCGGCTTTTTGTTAGGAGGTTTGTGTTGAGCTATCGGAGGATGTTCCAGCACTTGTGGTTGTGGTGTTGGTGTTGGTGCTTCGTCTTTTTTCTGATTCTCTGGTGGCTTTTCTTCTTTCTTTTCGGCAGATTCGTCGGGTTTCTTCTCCTCTTCCTTCTTCTTCTCCGACGTCTCCTCTTTCTTTTCATCAGAAGGAGGAGCAGCCGCAGGTTTCTCTTCTTTTGCCTCCTCGGGTGGCTTTTCATCTCCCTGTGTCGGCGGAGGATTTTCAGCCGCCACCGCCGCAGCAGCTTCCTCCTTCTTTTCCTCCGTTGGAAGAGGAGGAGGAGGAGGAGCCTCTTCGTCTATGTACCAAATCTTAAGCCCAATCTCGCCTTTAATTTGAGAAAAGACGCTCCGTTTTTCCAAGGGATAGTAGACAAGAGGAATTTCAGAGCCAATTTTGAGGAAAGTAGTAGCAGATATTTTAACTTTACCGAGGAAATTGCTCCTCTTGCAGGCTTTTTTGTCGTTGTAAATGTTGAGTTCAAGAGTTTCAGAGGGCATGGAGTGAAGGTCGTGGACCAAGAACTCGAGATGCTCGTCCCATTGTGGATTGAGATCTCTGAACTTAGTCTTGGTACGACGACGTTGGCCATCGAAATCGACGATGACAAAGGCGCTGGCTGTGCCTTGTCCATCTTTGGGCATCAAATTTCTGGCATTGCAAACTTGCACTATCAGTTTTCTGGTGCAAACAGAATCACCCATTATAATTGGAGTGTTTTATTTTCCGGTTAATCGGAGAAGAAAGAATGGTAGTATGAGAGAGTGAGTGAAACCTTTTAAAGTGGGGAAAAGGCGCTGGGGAGCCTCTTTTTCACTTTACTTTTCTTTTTTTCTCTCCTACTAATTTGTTTTTTACATATTTATTTATCAAAGTGGAGTGGGTACTGGTTGGTACTATTACTTGTAATTAAATGGTACTTTTCCGTTGAGGTTGTGACAAATATGGAAATATTTTACCTACCTCTTTTTTTCATGAAAGAAACTGTTTTATAATGTCTTTTATTTTTCAGAAAATAAAACCAACAAAGTTAATTAAACCATAGATAATTGGATGGTTAAAGGTTCATAGAAGACATCGTAAAAATTACTTCTACAACAGGAAAAAGCAAACAGTTTCTCATTCAATCTACTTTTACATGAGACTTAAGTTTTAGTTTACAGAAATCACCTAAATTCTTGAAAATCTAGAAACAAAATTACATTAGTTAAGCTATGGTGAAAGTATATCAGGTAACTGATATTTTAATTTTGAAAGAGTAATAAGCATGTTAGGAATATTTGGTAGTCAATTACATGAATCATAAATCAATATCAACTGTTTTATTTTGCATTTTGAGATTCAAACGTATTAATCTCTTAGGCCCTTAGTATGACATTTCTTCTAGATCGTTTCACATTGTTCCTTATTTAGTGGTTTAGACATATTTAAGGTTTCGGTCTCACATTAATCTAAAAGTTAATTAGTAATAGTAGTTTTCCAACCTAATCTAAAAATTAATTAGTTAAATTGACTCCAAATAGATAAAAGATAGTCTTGATATCAATTAAGCCTAACAACTCTATCAGATAACAAGTAATTTTAGCTTCATTCTTTTTTGGCTTCAAAGCATCTAATGTCTGGAACTCATGGCCTGAATAATTCGAGTCACACCGTAAAAAGTCCATTATGAGAAAGTTTTAGCGCTTCATATAAAAAATTACTCATTAAACATGAAACCTCTAATTCATAGTGAAAAAATCTTTACCCTTCCATCACACTCTTAGTTTAGCATCTTCTTATATATGAGTAATACATGTAACTTGCATATTGTAATTTCATTGAATAGTTGGTTTTAAGAAAATAAAAAGAATACAAGTCCCTAAAGACTTATTTAGCAAAATGTCAAAATACATGTGCTCATGTGTCATAACTCATAGGTGAAAAGGGGGAAAAAACTGTGAAATTAATTATGTTTGGAACCGTTGATTTATGTACGATCTTTTCATTAATTATCATCCTAAAATTAAAAGGGATAAAAATAGAACATAGTTAAAAAAAGAAAACACGTAGGCATAAACACAAAGAATCTACGTGGCAGGCATGGGGTTGCGAGATTTGATGTAGCCAGATGGAATCAACGCTCAT